TACAGAGCTCGCTCACCAACACCGGGCAGTAAGCAAGTGAGTACTGAGGACGAAGAAGAGTGTGATAACTGTGGTAATTATCATGACCCAAGTTGGTGCCCTGCTAAATACAAGAAATGCCATACGTGCAGAAAGGTGGGACATCTTACCAGGAAATGTCGTTCCAAGTAACAAGTTTCCTATAGAGCCAGATAGACTGAATGGTAGGATGTGGGCGGAGTTTGTTGAATTTTCATTTGGGCAAGTACAAGTCAAGTTAGATACCGGAGCCGAAGTTAATGTTATGCCTAAGAAGTTACTAGATAGTGCTCTTGGTAAAGCTAGTTATAAATTAAAGCCCACTCAGATTGTACTTGAAGTTTATGGTGGCCGTTTACTTAGGCCATTGGGAAGAATTTCCTTCAGCGATTGTAAATTGAATGGAATCGTACAAGATTTGGAGTTTGTAGTTGCAGAGGTGGAATCAGTACCTCTCCTAGGTCTTCTATCATGTGAAGCCTTTGGCTTAATCAATAGGATTACTTACAAATCAAATCAAGTTTCTAATATTTGTAGAGTATCCATCAGTGCATTGGAGACAGCTACTCTCTGTCAAATTAGTTTAAATGAACTTGCTAATTCTAATTCATGTAAGCCACAGGGCAAACAGGTTCACTTTGCAGATAGTCAACCTAAAAATACTAATCAGAGTCTGAAACAATTGATTGAAAACAATCCAACTGTTTTCTCCAAGGAACCAGGTTGTTTTCCGAAGGAATATTCATTGCAAGTAGATAGTACTAAGAAACCAGTTGCTGTTCCTTCCAGGCGAGTTCCTTTTGCCATTAAAAAACCTTATCAATTGTATTTAAATCAACTATGTGATCAACAGATTATAAAGAAGTGTGATAATGCTAAGGGCTACATTAGTCCAGTTGTGATTGTTGAGAAATCAGATAGTTCACTGAGGATATGTTTAGATGCTAAAGATCTTAATGAGGCATTATGCCGACCATTCTATGAAATTCCTACAAAAGAAGATATAGGGATGGCTCTTAATAATAAAACTTATTTCAGTGTTCTTGATTTGACGTCAGGTTTTTGGCACTGTAAATTAGACAAACAGTCAAGTGAGTTGTGTAAATTTTCGACACCCTTTGGAATTTATCAATTTCTACGTTTACCATTTGGGCTAAACGTCTCACCAGAAATATTTCAGAAGGCTGTGTATGATTTGTTTGGAGACATTGAAGGTGTTGTGCTTTATTTTGATGACATGTTAATTGTTGCTAAAACTGAGGAAGAACATGATCAAATATTTTTGAAAGTCATAGAAAGAGCCAAAGAGCACAATGTTCGGTTCAACCCCAGCAAGATTCAGTATAAAAGAAAATCTGTTAAATTCTTAGGGCATGTTTATTCTGAGAGTGGGAAGACCATCGACCCAGATAGAGTAGAAGCCATAATGTTATTAAAATCTCCTAGGAATGTTAAAGAACTACAAAGATTGCTAGGAATAATTAACCATGTACGAGAATTTATTCCTAATCTAGCAGACGAGACATCTTGTTTAACTCAGCTTATTAGAAAGAATGTTCACTATGAATGGCTACCATTTCATGAGGAAGCACTAGATAGGATTAAGAGTAAGATTGTCAATGCTGTTTCTTTAGTAACTTTCGATCCAAACAAACCAACTGAGATACAATGTGATGCCTCCAAGGATGGGTTAGGGAGTTGTTTATTTCAAGATGGTCACCCGATTGCATTTGTTTCTCGTAGCTTGACAAAAGCTGAAAAGAACTATGCACAGATCGAAAAAGAGTTATTGGCAATTGTTTTTTCAGTACAAAAGTTCCATTATTATATCTATGGCCTAAAGAAAATAACTGTGTTCACTGACCATAAACCACTTGTTCCAATATTTAAGCAAGCTTTGTCAGATGTAACTTCAAAACGCATCACTAGACTATTGTTAAAAACAACCCCATATCAGCTAGAAGTCATTTACAAGCCAGGTAAAGAAATGCATGTGGCCGATGCATTATCTAGGGATTTCTTACCTTGCAAACCTGATGATGAAGTGCTTATCACTCAGGTTCATTCTGTAATAAATAAGGTAGTGTACAAATCAAATGATATTTATGTTCAGCATACCAAAGAGGATCCCACCCTATCTCAAGTAATTAAATTTCATTATGAGGGCTGGCCCAAAAATGTTAAATGGTTAGAAGGTGATGTTAAAGCTTTCTTTAATTTAAGAAATGAGTTGTCAGTTGATGATGATCTTCTGTACTTTAGAAATAGACTTGTAATTCCTAATTCACTTAAAAATCAATCTCTTCAACAGCTGCATTCTGGCCATCAAGGCATTGTAAAGTGTAAGTCTCTAGCTAGGGAGACAATTTTTTGGCCTGGGATTAACAAGGACATTGAGTCGTTTGTTAGCGACTGTCTAGTTTGCTCCAAGTTTTCCCCCGCTCAGAAAAAATTAATTATGATATCTCATGATATTCCTAATCTACCATATCAACAGGTGGCCACAGATATCCTTGATTTTCATGGTGATTATTACCTGGTAGTAATAGACACTTATAGTAAATGGATAGATGCCATCAGAATGCCAAACAAAACATCAGAAGCTGTAATTGATATTTTAAAGTTCTTGTTCGCTGTTCATGGTATACCCTGTGTTGTGTTAGCGGATAACAATCCATTTAAGTCATACAAGTGTGCAGAGTTTGCTAAAGAACTAAATTTCAAGTTTGTTTCATGTAGCCCCTACTATCATCAATCAAATGGCTTGGCAGAAAAAGCAGTGAGCATAGTAAAACAATTTTTAAGAAAATGTGCTAATGACCCTAGAGCTTCTTTAGAGAATTGTCTGCTTCACTATAGAGTAACGCCACTTTCTGGTTTAAATGCTTCACCTGCCCAACTTCTAATGAGTAGACAATTAAGAACCATGTTACCAATTAAAACTTCTAGACTTAAGCCATCAATTGTTCCTAATGTTGTGTCCAAACTTGAGAAAAAGGCTCTAACTTCAAAAATGCATTATGATAAAACAGCAGTAGGTACTGAAATTGAGTTCTCACCATCTGATTATGTGTTTGTTAAAAATCCACTAACTTGTGTATGGGAGCCAGGAATAGTTGTTGAGGTCTGTTCCGAACCAAGGTCTTACATGGTAAAAACAAATTTCTCAAGCAACATAGTACGACGGAATTCTACTTTTCTCAAACCTAGAAATGTTAAAGCACCTGTCAGAACCCCTGTGTATCTTCTACCTGGCTACAACAATGTTGAACCTGCAAATGTTGAAATTCCTAATCTTGAAATTCCAGTCATTCCTGAACAGCCTCATGATAATGTCAATAATGAAATTCCAAATAATAATGTTCCTCTTCAGGAAGTAAATGAAAATTTAAGGAGGTGGCGACAACAACTTGCTGACAGATTTGCTCAGCCTGCGAATCAAAATGCTAACAGGACGAGGACTCGAGTTGTCAAACCACCTGAAAGACTCAACCTGTAAAATTTTCTACTGATCATTGTACTTTTGGTTGTGTAATTTTTGTGAGAGGGAGGATGTGTGTGAATTGTTGAATTGTTAATTATTTATTAAACTTGTTATTGTTGTAAATGATGTATATCGATGTTATCTAGTATTGTTAAATTAAATAATTTATTGACTGTTAAAAAATTTAAAATGTTTA